ACGAATCCAACGAACCGGCTTTCGTACGATCAGATCGTCAAGCATCCATTCTTCGAAAGCATCCAGTGGAGCACAGTCCGTTCACAGGTGCCGCCCATTATACCCACCATCAAGTCGGATGATGATATTTCCAACTTTGAGGATGGAATACGGCATAAAGCGCGCCGTGAACCTCAGGCGAAAAAGTCACTGACTTCGAACATGAAGTCGAACGATTTTAGCGGCAAGGATTTGCCTTTTATTGGCTACAGTTTCGTTCATTTGGAAAATGATTACAGTGCAGCCGATGCTTCGGATACAGCACGTACAACTAAGCTGCAGGAAAAGCTGCGAACTTTGCAGCAAAAGTTGAAATCGCGCGAAGGGGAAATCCTAAAGCTGAGACAGGAGCTAGTCAAAGCACAACAAACAGTAAAGCAGAGTGACGGCTCATCTCAAGTGGTGCTCGAAGCTAAAATGGAAATTACAAAGCTCCAAGATATTATTAAGGAGAAGACCATGGAGCTGGCCAGCTGCAAGACTCAAATCAAAACGTTGCAGAGCTCAGCTAAAATTGACGAAGAAATGTGGTCGAAGAAAGAAGCCACAATCACAGACTTACTGCGCCTGAATCGCCAAAAGTACGAGGAGGCGAAAATTGCATCCGAACAAAGATATGAGAAACAGTTGGCGGAAAAGAAACAAGAGCTGGCTTGCACGATACAAAAGCTGGATGCGCGTGAACTAGAATTTAATGCCAAAACTGACGAATGTAAGCATCTGCAAGACAAGCTGGAGAACTACAAGGAAATGCTGAAGCAGCTGAAGGAACAGAGCGTTAAGGCCGACACCAATCACGAGAAGCAGAGACAACAGCTAACAGAAAGCTATTAGCAAAAGCTTTCAGAGCTGCGACAGAAGCTGCGCGAAACGCAGGACACCCACCGTCGCATGACGTTCGAGCTGCAGAATATACGCACGGAGCTGGATGAGTCAATTAGCTCGGGTAAATCCAACCAAGAAGCTAAAAATGCGACAGAGCGTAGCATTGAGGACATACTCCAGCGTCTCAACTGTGAGATTAGCGCAAACAACGAGCTGCGCGCAGCCAAATCTTCGCTAGAGGCGCAGCTAAGTCTTACCAAAAAAGAGCTCGCAGAAGTACAGACGGAATGCAACCGTTTGGAACGAGAACTACAGGTAATTGGCATTGATTGACAAATAATTAAAAACCTTTTACAATAATTTTCTTATGCTTATCATACAGCTTGCTGAATGTCGTGGAAACTTGGCAGAATCATCGCTTGCGTCTCAGGCCTCGCCTTATGAAACAGCGCCAGGTTCGCTAACGGAGTTACATGCTATTGAGGACCAACTGCGCGCCGATTTGGTGGCTGCGAAGGATGCGGAGTCGGCGCAAAAGACTCGCGCAGATCAACTACAGGAGCTGGTTTCTAAGTTGGAGCGAATGCTCGAACGTTTCAATGAGCAAAGTTTGTCGCCCATGAAGGGTCATTCCGGGGGCGCTGGTAACAGCGCCGTGGGCGATATGCTTGAGCGGCAGAATGAGAAACTTGAAGATAAACTGGCTGCAGTACGAGAGCAAATGATTGTAGAGCGTCAAGCGGCACGTACTGCTAACTTATCACTCTGGAAGGTGGAGAAACAACTGGAGGAGGCGCTCGCCGAGAAGAAGCTGTTGGCGCGACGCATGGAGTTGACGGAAGAGCGCGTCAAGAAGGCGCAGAATGAACGTGACGAGGCGCAACGTAAACAGAAATCAACGCAGGATGAGTTCCGTCAGCGCGATGCACGCATTGATGAACTGAAAGCTGAGCTGGCAGCCAGCAAGCGAGATGTGCTGAAGGAGCATCGCATGTGGGAGAAAGCCGAGGAGGAGCGCATGAAGTGCAAATCCGAAATAATCGAGCACTTGGCAAACATCCACAGGCTGGAGCAGCAAGTTCGAGAGGTGCGTCAAAAACTGAATCAGTCCCAGCAACGTTGCGATGGGCTGGGTCTGGAACAGAAGCGTCTACAGCGCGAGCTACAAGAAGAACGGGAGCGCAATGCGGCAGTTGGCGAAAACACTCAGGCCTTGCAAGCGGAGCTGAAGCAACTGACGGATAATTTCCAGCGTCTCAAATACGCATGCAGCATAACTGACAATCAGCTGACGGAAGTGGAGAACATGCTGGAGGCAGAGCAGAAGCGCAACAAGACACAGCAAGCCCAGCTGGATGCTTGCCATGTAAAGCTACGGGAGCGCAACGATCAGGTCACCCAGCTGCGCAAGGATCTGAATGTGCAGGAGTCTGAGAAGCGGCAAGCTGAGCAGCATGCGAAAATACTGGGCGTAGAATTGGAGGAGCTCAAGGAGAACTTGAAGCAGTTGCAGATGAAGTTAATCTCACAACAGAGTCAGCTGGTGGAACAAACGAATGCTCTGTTCGGCGCCCAGGAGCGGGCGGATCAACTGGATGTGCAGAGCGCCAGTTGCCAGGCGCAGAATGCAGACTACGAGAGGGAGCTGCTTTGCCTGAAGGAGGAGAATGCTCGCATTCTCAGTGAGCTATTCCACAGCAAGGAGGAGGTGTTGCATTTGCATGACGAAGTCAAGAATTTGCAGGCAGTGCAAACAGGACTTCACACCGAGATCGATGAGCTGCAGAATGCGCTGACCGAGAAGGAACAGTTCTATGTGCAGCGGGACATCAAGGCAATGGCTACGCTCGCTCAGCACAAGAAACTCATCGACTATTTACAGGTAATTCGATAGCTAAAGATTATTATTGATAATTGATAACTAATACACCACAATTGTAGCTCAAGGTGGAGGATTTGTCTGCGAAGAAGAAGAAAACACTTGCAGACAAAATATTTGGATCCAACAGCAATACCAAGGAGAACATATCGCCCAATGATGTCGAGTCATCAATACTATATCGTGCCCTGAAAGAGGAATTGCGCCGGGAGCAAAAGCATTCCAAGATGCTGCAGGAACAATTGGATCAATTAAATGGTAATGCAAGATTGAAAATGAAATATCTAAACAATATAGTAAGGATGAATTGTTCTTTTAGGCACTGCAACTTTACGTTCCCCGCGTAAGTCAACCGTTGTCAATGGAGCTGCAGATGAGCCCAAGCTGAGACCCGCTAGTATCGCCACAGTTCCCCGATCTCCACGTAAGCAGCCGGCGACAATAAAACGCTCGGCAAGTCAAACGGAAACCAAAGCAAATTCGAAATCACCAGAAAAGCAGGAGAGCAAAGGCGAAGTAACGCATCATCGCTTCGAGTTGGCTTTGCAAGAATCGAAGGTCGATGCTGCCAACTGTGTGGCCTGTGAGCAACCGATTATAGCCGGTTCGCCTTATTGGCGCTGCAAGGAATGCAAGGATGTATCGCACCGCAAATGTCGGGCTAATGTGACTAGCAGCTGTGGCAGCTCTGTTGTGTCGTCTTGCGATGAGGTTAGCGAAGCTCGACCAGAGTCCAGCTGCAGCAGCAGTCTGGACACAATGGAAAGCGAGAGTAACTGCACTGATGAGTACAAGGGCACACTGGCTTACAATGGCTCACAGAACAGCCACAACAGTGAGGTCATTGAGATTAATTGTGCATTCGAAATAGTGGAGCAGAAAATCTTGCTATTTGGCTGCAATAGCGGCTTATTCACCTACAATGTGGATACGCAGCGCTTGCTACATATTGCTGGTATCGAGTCGGTCAGCTGCGTGTCCGTATCGACACGTCTTGCCAAGGCTATGATGGTGGGTGCCAATGGCGAGAAGCTCTACCAGTGTGACTATCGGCAGCTGGAGTCACGTTGCCAGAGCACGATTCCCTGCAACAAGCCTGTGCTGGAGACGTCTGTCATTGAATTGCCGTTTGCCAATCGCTCAGTCAGCGAGAAGTGGAAACTTGTACAAATCTCAAACGAATCTGAGAATGCCCTCGACTCGGTGGCCATTGCGGCAACTTCTACACGAATTGTCATACTCAAATACGATCATAAGCTGCATAAGTTCAAGCCAGTTCGTGCATTGGACACTGCCACGCCCGTAACATCGATTTTCTATACACGCCACTCGGCCATCGTCAGCTCGGACAAGTTCTATGAAATCGATCTGGATAACTATGCGGCCGAAGAGTTTGTCGATCTAGCAGATAAGACGCTGCAGCACACATCCAACTGTCAGCCTTTCGTAGCTGTACGTATCTCTCGTCAGGAGTTCCTGCTGTGCTTTGCCGAATGCGGCATCTTTGTCGATGAATTTGGTTGCCGTTCGCGTCCTTATGACTTGAGTTGGGTTTACGCGCCAACTGGCTTCTTGTACCGCGAGCCATTCCTCTACGTGGCGCACTATCAGTACGTGCAGATAATGCGCATACATCGATCCTACAGCAAAGAGATGGCCAATGCGGAAGGCGGAGACTCATCAGAAATCCAACGCGCTTACTTGCCCCATTACATGCCTACTCTGCTGACTTCCAGTGGCGAGCGAAATATTTATACTCTGTCTATAGATAAGCAAGCGGGCTATCAGCAGGTATATCACCTGGATGCATTGCGTGCCTTCAAAAAGAAGCTCAACGTGTCCATGGAGACAATATCGTCGGTGGCAACATCCATAACGCTCGGCTCGGCAATGACAACGGATAGTCTATAGGGCGTACTTAATCAATAATATCTCTGCCTGTAAATACATACATGCGTATGTATATAGTATTTAACACAAATTTATCAGTCACAAATCACTTTTTATATTATATTTTATTTGAATATTTTAACTATGTTTATTTACTATTCCAGCGAGAATAAAGCATTCTAATACATTTAGCGCCAAGTTTGAATGTCAGTTATTGGGACACCCTGTGAAAGCTTTGGGCTTGCAAAAACGCCCTGTGCAGCATAACAGTTATTTTTCTTTTTAGTTCGTATAGGCTGATGGAGCGGCAACAGCATCTAATGAAAGAGTGTCGAGCTTTTGTTATCCAGCGCAGTAAAAAGCCTCTAGGCGCAGGGTGCGGGCGTCATATTTCGGGTGCTCCAAACCACATACGCATACACACACATAAATGTGTTGTTATTGTCGCAATTGATGTTAATTTATAGCATGCCGGTTGGCTGGGTATATGTAACCTGACGACGATGTTTAAATCAGAGCGAAAACAAAGCGCGCGTCGCACACTTGCTGCAAGCGCAGCCGCTGCTGGTAAAATGTCATTGTGCCGAGCCTGTTTGGTCCTGCTCAGCGCAGAGGAGCCCACCTACGATTTGTACCAGGAAAAGGATTTGGCCGCCAAGTTCATTGGCTGCATGCGTGCCGGCGATGGGCTGCGATTCTTGGGCGCGCCACTGGACAAGGAAGTGAGCCCACAAATTGTGCTGCGATGCATCTGCGATAGCTGCTACCAATTGGTGCAGCGATTCTATGGCTTTCAACGTATGTGCGAGGAGTCCTTTGCAAATTTCGAAAAACTCTTAGCGGAAGTCAGTTCGAAGACCAGCTACAACCAGAGAGAGGAGCATCCAACAGAGACGATAAAAGTTGCATTGCCAAGCCCTGCGGAAGTTGATTTGCATACAGAAGGCGAGAAATCAATTGTTCAGGCTCAACCTGTCGAAGTGTCTGTCGTAACGTCTGCCGAGTCAATTGAAGATATTGTGAGTGTAAAATTCAAGAGCAAACCCATACACAGATAAGTTATACTGTTTATCTGTGTGTGTCTGCACAATCTAATCACATTTTGGCTGGATGGGCCGAGCGCGTTTGAAAGTATAACTGTTCATTTAAGCGTGCGTGTGTTTTGTGGGTGTGTGTGTATGTGATACAGAAGACAATAAGCGCAAGCACTCATAAATGTATATATGTATGTATGTACGTATGTACATATATGGCACGCTTATTTTATTATCGTGAGAACGTATCAACATAATCATAATAGACATATGTACATACACATATACAAACGTAAATACATATATATTTATCTGAATAAATAAATGTTATAATGGCAGGAAGCAACTGGGATAGTAACGGCATTCAATTTTAAAAGCTTTTAGCTGAAATCTAATAAGGATCGAAATGAAAAAGATGTAAAATATCAATAATTGTCAATGATGGAAATTATAGTTCACTTAATTTTTGTATTTTATTTAAGCAGCCGGCAACACCTGACACGAGGTACCTGTTAGTCAAGCACACTTCAGCGAATTATCTTGTTTATTTATTAGTTTTATATACACAAGTATAAACAATAAAATAACTTGTTTGGAATCATCATTTATATGTAAAGACTATAAGTTCGGGCAAAGTATAAACAAGTTTGGCTACTAATCTGAATACATATTTGTTTATCTGCAGGAAGAAGTGTATATAATCGAAGATGATGCGGCAAAAGAGATTCTGGGCAAAGAACGGATTGTCAAATCCGCTCAGCCTGGCTACACGAAACGCCCCTTAGGACTTCGCCATAAAACAGAATGCAATATTTGTGGTTGTGGGTTCTATAAAATGTCCCTCTACGAGGCGCACATGCAGAAGCATCAGGGCAAACAGCCCTACAGCTGTACGGTCAACAACTGCGGCAAAACATATGCGCGAGCTAATTTGCTGGCAGCCCACCTTCGCGAGGTGCACCAAAACAAGCGATCCTCATATGCCTGCACCCACCCCGATTGCAACAAAGAGTATACTGCGCTGCGCAGCCTCAACTATCATATTCGCCGCCAGCATGCAAAACAGATTGAAGCCAAGAGTCCTATGCACATGTGCGATCAGTGCGGCAAGTCATATGGGAGGAAGGCTCTGCTGACACGACATCAATGGGTGCACAGGAGCAAGTGCGAATATGCCTTCGCATGCGATTTGTGTGATCAGCGCTTCTACACCAATCAAAATCTAAAGGATCACGTCCTGAGACGACATGGCAATAAGAAGCAACTGTGGCGCTGCAAGCGATGTGCGCGCATCTTTCGCTCTCGAGTCACATTGTCGGCTCACCTCAACAAGCATTTAAAATCTTGTATATCCTAATCACCTACCCAAATGCAGTCCATAGTATATATATATATATATATATATATATATATA